AAGAAGCTCTTTAGTACGTCATTGAAGCTACTAGGGGCTCCTGGCATCGCTACTAGGAGCGATCGGACGCTACTAGTATGTCTTTGAAGCTACTAGGAACAAGAAGCGTTTTAGTAACATTTCTGCTGAGGGCTGCGGCGGAGACTTGGACTGGAGCTCGCGCTCGTTGCAAATCACACGCAGCCGCTTGTTGTAGCCTGACGTGGAAAGGTATACTTTTAGATATTGATTTCTTTCTTAGGTCAATCTATCTGTTCAAGTGTTTAAATGCTTTCTGCCCACCCCTCCCATGCTTGCTACCAACTTTTGCATCTTCAAGGTACCCTTGCTCAACTACCCGCTACTGCCTTTCTTCCTTCCCTTTTCTAAACTGGTTCTTCCCTCATCTCTTCAGTTCTCTTTCTTCACGTGTTGCAAACTTTTGAAGACTTGATCAAGTCCTCTCACTCATTCGCTAGTAGGGTGGAGGCCATCGCTACTAGGGTTGAAGATATCACAGGAGGCCATCACTGCTTTCACGTGAGACCTCCCCTCCCAGGCCCTCCCAGGCCCTCCCAGGCCCTCCCAGGCCTTCCATCCACTTGGGCAAAGATGCGGAGTTCCGATCTTCGTAGAAGCAGGTGGCATTCTTGAGCTGGTACATGGCCTTCGCTGCAAAATGACAACTTCGGGACAAGTTGGCTCGGGGCGAAAATCAAGTTGACAAGCTGAGTGAGCAGGTGTGACCAAATTAATGGGCCTTTCTTCCTTCGAAACATCGAAATATATCCACTAAATGCACTTCAACCTACTAGGGATGGCCTCCATCCTCCTAAATGCAGGCCTTGACCTTGGCATTGGGATGGTGATCCCTGTACACTAAGAGCTCGCCGTTGTCGATGATGAAACTTCGTTCCACCCTGCATGTTCAAGTTGTTGCCATGACTGACAGCTACCGCCTAGTGAAGAAAGCGTTTTCAAAAGCAGTATGGCAAGAAGCTCCTAGTAACAAAGGGCATCGCTACTAGGATCAAAAGACGCTACTACTAGGGTCTCCTGGCATCGCTACTACGAACAAGAGGAAGCTACTAGGAACAAAGGTCATCGCAGCGTCTTCCAACCTGGAGCAACATGGTCGCTTTCTGGAGATCTTCACTAAAGTATCTCCTCAGCTCAACCCAAGATCGCTCGTTCCATTCGTGGATCAAGCCAAACATCACAAGTGGCGTAGCACTCGTGTGAGCTTTCCAACCTGTGGAACTTGTAGAGTCCTGCTGGGTTTTGTACGCCTATGCATCATTTGCAAGGTTTTTGCGGTGCTCTCGTTACTTTATATTACAGTGTAATGTACAGACAAAGCGTTTTCTGAGCGTTACTTTTTTAGAATGTGCCGCTTTTTGATGTCGGTGCCGGCTTAATGGAGCTACATGGAGCTACATGGAGCTATGGCCCTTTGTCGTCTCCTTCTGAGCCGAGCGAAAGTTGCACTCTGCGCTTTTGGGAAGCGAAGACGTGTGTCATGTGTTCCATGTCTTCAATGTCTTCAACTTGCAAAACAAAAAAACAGCAGGAGTCACATCACACGCATCACATCTTTCATACACCTAGTGCAAACCTAGTGCAAACCAAAGCTCGCTTGCGATCTTGTCGATGTTGCGACACATTTTGAAGCTTTTTCTTCTTGGTGCCTGACACAGATTTAGTGCCCAAGCTCCTTCCAAATGACATCCCAACATGTAGATGTAGGTAGATAGGAGATGCTCCTATTCAACACGCTGTAGACTGTAGACCAAGGTTCTCAAAAACAAGTAGGTGGAACGTAATCGAAAGGGTAGTCTTGCACTGCAGTGCATCAAACCTCAACGAGCCGAGGTCCCGCCTGAAACTGTGAATCTAGCATTTCCGGATTGGAGGGTCTGGATTCTTTCCTGGCATCGGAAATCGACTGGAGGCCATCACTACTAGCCTTGCAAAATACTTTCGTACTAGTTGCTCATCGAAGAAAAAAACACATTGCACCTTTGCACCTTGGTTCTTTGCCCTCTTCTTATTTCTTATCGTTCATCCTATCTGACATAGCAAGTTGCACCCTCGATCTCACCTGGATATCCTCGATCTCCGGGGTCGCCATAGAGTATGCGGACAGCTCTTTGGCGTCCATCAACCGAAGCTCCTCCGCAGCGATCATCATGGCCTCCACAGCGTTTTCATCTTCTGTTTGAGCTTCTCTCTTCTTCATGTTAGCAGTAGCTTCAAAAATCAAGAGCACATGAGGCCGAGAAAGCGGAAGCATCCAAGTTTGCACTTCTTGTCACCTTCCTGTAAAAACGGGAAGACTGATCAGAAAAGAAAGAAAGATATGACGAAAGGAAAGAAAAGAAAAGAAAGAAAGAAAGAAAGAAAGGGAAGAAAGAAAGAAAGAAAGTCTAAAGAAAAAAGGAATGTGTCCCACTACAAACTTTCTTCCCCTTCCTATTCGCACAAATCTCTGCAGCACTGAACAAAATCGCAAACTTGCAAGTCCCATCTGGACTGTGCGGATCGTCCAATGCTGTTCTACCAAAAAGCTCCTAGTAGCGAACATTGCTCCTAGTAGTACGGCCAGGAGCCCCTAGTAGCTTCTTGTTCCTAGAAGCGATGCCAGGAGCCCCTAGTAGCGTCCTTTGCCCCTAGCAGCGATGCCCTTTGCTCATAGTAGAGTCCGGGCCTGCTTGACAGTTTTCTGGTAGAAAGTGTCCCCATGCGCATCTTTCAACCAGCCCTGCACAGGCGAAGAAAAAGGGAAGCAAACATGCACCGGAAACAAACGTGCGTTTCTTTTTTAAATTAAAGTAGGTGCCTACTTAGTTAAGTAAGGGTGAGGGCAACTAGGGCTAGCCAGCCGCTACTAGCTACAGCACGCAGGATAGCTCACGCTATTCGTTTGATTAAGCTTTTAACGCATGTTTTCATCACATACGTTTTGGGACATGTCGTGAAACTGTTCTCTAGTCTTTAGAGCAACAATCTTTGAGCCCCTATTACTTAAGCCAAAAGCTACTAGTAACAAGTGCCACGCTAGTAGTAACAGGTGCCTTACTAGTAGTAACAAGAAGCTACTAGTAACAAGTGCCTTACTAGTAGTAACAAGAAGCTATTAGAAACAAGTGCCTTACTAGTAGTAACATGCCTTCTATTGATTTCCCGTTCTGCTGGTCCCAACAGGCGCTATCTTTGCATCAACCAATTCCGCTCTGCTCCGCTCCTTCTTGATTATTCTTGAAGCTCCTCCATCAATTGGAGTGATCCGTCTTTCCTGCACAGAAACTATACGACTCTATTCGTGGAATTCACAGAAATTGGCGTAGTAATAAAGGGCATCGCTACTAGCAGCAAGACGCTACTGGTAGCTCCTGGCCTTACTAGTAACAAGAAGCTACTAGGGGCTCCTGGCATCGCTACTAGGAGCATTCTTACGACTAGTAACAAGAAGCTAGTAGGAACAAGAAGCTACTAGGAACAAAGGGCATCGCTTCTAGTAACAAGTGCCTTACTAGTAACAAGAAGCTAGTAGTTCACTTGCTCTTTCTCCAGAATTCCGCCGTTCAACTTGCGCACACCGCCTGTCTCAGTGGTCGAAGGTCCACCGGGCCAGCGGTGGTTCCTCAGGTGCAAAGGAACTTGTTACTAGTAGCTTTTTGTTACTACTAGTAAGGCACTTGTTACTACTAGCGATGCACTTGTTCCTAGTAGCGTCCTTGCTCCTAGTAGCGTGGCACTTGTTACTACTAGTAAGGCACTTGTTCCTAGTAGCGTCCTTGCTCCTAGTAGCCATGCCAGGAGCCCCTAGTAGCGTCCTTGCTGTTGTGGTTTGTTTTTGGTTCGCAAAGGCTCACCGTTTGCAAGAATGCACATCCATGGACATATGATGATGATCCGTCGCAGGTCTTCTTGGGTGGCTCCAAAAGCACAACTCGTGTGCATGTTGACCTCCACGGCAAAACTGTATGTTTCTTGTGCAGAAGCTTTGATGAAGCAGATCTCGTTGCATTTCCACTAGAGCAGGATAGATTACCAGTCCCTTTTGATGGTTTTTTTCACCTGCATAATGCTCTAGAGTAAGGAGAAAAGCTCCGCACATCTCGTATTCCACTCGCTTCTGTGCCGCACGTACGCTGGAAGAACGACAATCACTGGAAGAACGCACTGCTGAGAGGGTCTTGTACAACACGCACACATCTCTGACCTGTCGCTGTGTTTCTGACCAGATCTGTCGTTCGCTGGAGGCCATCGCTATTTGGAAAAAAAGGAAGGAGTAGTAACCCGAACGTTTTTTCTTCGTAAAGAATAAAGAACTGTGTTCTTTAGTTCAAAACGTTTCTAACGTGTTTGCATGTTCGACTCGAATTGTCCAAGGTACGTAGCGCCAGCGGCCTTTGCTCGCGCTCCATCGGCCCCGTTCACGGCCCGTTTCAGGGACGTGGCTGGGGAAGGTTTGAGACTGAACGTCGAAGCAAAGCGGCAACGTCCACTGTAGCGTCCTTGCTCCTAGTAGCGATGCCAGGAGCCCCTCGTAGCGTCCATTGTAAAGGAGAAGCAAAAAGGGGAAGCAAAAAGGTGTTTTCATAACATCTTTTTAATGAGGGCCCCTGAAAAAAGAGCCCTAAGAGATGTACCTTTTTTCATGTCTTTTGTTTTTCAACCGCTGTCGTTTCGGACATCACGGACAGCTGCCCTCTCAGAAAAAACACAAAACCTCTGGAGATTATCCGCTCGTGGTCTCTTTCCATCGAATAGGAATGGCCTCCACCCTACTAGCAATGGCCTCCAACCCAGTAGCTTCTTGCTCCTAGCAGTAAGGCCAGGAGCCCCTAGTAGCGTCCTTGCTCTTAGTAGCGATGCCCTTTGCTCCTAGAATTTCAATAAAGGACATGACCAAAGGTTCTTCAAGAAAGATCGACAATCGTGAGATGAAGAAAACGAAGGATGAAAAGGAGTTCAAGGATAGTGCCATATGCTGAGGGGGTTGGACAATCTCCGTTCTGTTTTTGGTTTTCTCAGTTTGTTGAGAAGTCATGGTCCGTCTATGGCTGTGTTTGGCAACATCTTTTTGACAGATTTGTCACTGTCACTGTACCGCAGGGATGCGACACGCTGAAAATCATTGACCAAGCCATCTAAGAGGCAAACCGTCTGCACAAACTGTTCGAAGGGATCATAAATCGCCGTGTCTCTAAGCCAAGTAGGGCAGAGTTTCTCAGAAAACAACTACCTTGCTCCTCAATGGCTGGAGCACACTAAATCAATTCAGATCCACAATGTCTTGCAATCTCAAAATTGAGCATCTTAATGGTCATTGCGGAGATCCTCTGAAAGATGCTGAGGAGTGCAAAGTTGCTTTGCATCTTTGCAGTTTCAGCTCTCTTTGAGGTGAAGTCATGTAAAGGGGTTGCTCTTTTTCCGTGGAGGACAAAAAGGGATTCTTTTTACAAAGGATTGTGCTTGTAAGCTCCACCTTCGAAACAACTGGATTCAGTTGGATTGGGTGGATTGTAAGTTAGAGCTGTTCGTCTTCCGCAAACTGACGCTGACCATTCAGGCTGCAAGCTGAGTGCTATCTTTGGCGGTCCAAATCAGGCATCCGATGAAGCCTGCCAAGTCCCAAAAAAAGAGTTCAAACGCAAAGGAAACGCAGAAGGAAAGCAAAGCGTCTTGAAAATACTCAGACGTTCACACCTTATCCCCACCGTGCACAAGAATTCAACTCGGGGCGATTCATGCGGATTTCACTTTGGTGATGCGCTACCTGATTTGTCTTGGTCTAGGCAGCTCTTAGGTTGGAGGCCATCAGGATGGCCCGTGCTGTTGCTTAGCTCGTCGATGACAACAGCATGGCAATCAGGCCTTGCCTGCCATACGCATCACGTGCAAATGCTTTGCCTTCCTGGTCAAACAGCAAGCTCTCTGCCTCACCAAATGGACAAGGCCAAACTCCGTGAAAGGCTTTGGTGGACTCGTCTGAGGACAGACTGACGCAACGCTGCTGGAAGGCTGGAAGGGGACGGCCACGACAGGTTTGTAGACAGAATGACCCATGAAGTTAAAGCCTGTCACTCAGTGAAATTGCAATCAGAAGCAGTGCCCAGGAAATCTGTATAATGTGTTTTCACACCTCCTGAGGTCAATCGACAACACAGTTGCTGTTCTCTGCAAATTGACCTCTTTCTCCAGGCAACAGCAGGCAAGGATTAGCGATGGCCTCCCACCTACTAGCGATGGCCTCCAACCTAGAAGCAATGGCCTCCCACCTAGTAGCGATGGCCTCCAGCCTAAGAGCGATGGCCTCCAACCTACTAGCGATGACCTCTTCTTTTTCGTTGCTTTTCTGCACTTCTAGGCCCCTGCGGGAGAGCCCTGCTCAATGTTCTTGCTCCGACGGTAGAAGGAGTAAAGCATCAGGACCTCGAGCAATCGAAAACAAAGAAGATCCAAGCGAAAGAACACGAGGGAAAAAGATCTAAGAATTCGCTAAGATCTGACACCTATGCCGTTTCGAAGACGCGTGCCCTTGCTCTTCTGAGGCTACCTTCCGTGATCAGTACGAGGCCCTGCATTCAACCAGTCCGTAGCATCGGGTTTGCCATACAAAGCCTACCTGGAAAGAAGTTTGTTTAGTGATGTCCATTTCGGCTCCCTTCCACGGTGGCAAATGCACAGTAAAGGGGTCCACCCTCTCGCTAGAGTCTTGAAATCCTTGGTTACAGCGATGTGTAACTTCGACGACGGCGGCCGCAAGTCGGTTCTACTTGCCAACTTGTCTTTCAGACGACTCTGAAGAGTGCCCCCCGTTGGAGCTTTGCGCGTATCGAAAGAAAATCATTGAAACACGCTGCACATACTACTAGGAACAAGAACTACTAGGGGCTCCTGGCATCGCTACTAGGAACAAGAAGCTTAAACAAGAGGAGCGGCACTCAGGTCATCACGGTCCAAACTGGCAAAAACAGCGGCAGAAATCGAAAGAGTGACTCCGACAAGCCTCGGCAATCGGAACAAGAAAAATCTGCATTCCTACGGCATTCTGAAGCCGCTCAAAATGAGAACGGCCTCCAACCTAGAAGCAACGACCTCCGCTCAAACTGAGTATGATATTATCTTTATGCAAAGAACAAAACTCTACTGACCCACTAAATGTTTGAAAATAAGAGTAGTTGGAGAGTACGGCTTAAGGCCTTAGATTACAAGACTGCTTCTTTTACTTGTCCTGCGTCCTGCTTTTCTTCTTCTTTGCTCCTTAGACTTTTCTTTCATACTACTAGGAGTAAGGACGCTATTAGGGGCTCCTGGCATCCTTGAGACCTTCAGACTTTTCCTGCGTTCTTTTCCTTTCTGAAAAGTAAGAAAGGGTCATGCTTTTTGTCGTGTTCTTTGTTCTCTCTTTTCTTTGTCCTGTCTTTTCCTTTTTTCTTTTCCTCTCCTTTTCTTTCCTAAGGGTCCTCTCAGAAGTTGAGAAGTTCTCAAAACATAATTCCTTTTGAAAAAACACTCAAAACCTCGGTGTGGCACTCCAAACCACGTGATGAATGTCTTGATAGCTGTCAAGACTGCGTTCTGCTGTTCCTTCGTTCTCAGCTTCCCGCTTCTCCGATACCGGTACTGGTTAAACCTCAAGACCAAAAATGCTGCACACTTACTGCAGCCACCATCTGTTCCATCGCTTTCTTCCTGCTTTGCAACTGGCTTACACTGTAGTGCAAGAAGAGACACCCACAACCAGTGCCTGCTAAGCACCTACATCTTGAAGGCAAATCTCATGTCGCTCCTAGTAGCTTCTTGTTCCTAGTAGTAAGGCCAGGAGCCCCTAGTAGCGTCCTCTACCCAGTAATGGAAAGCAATGGCCTCCAACCTAAGAGCGGCCTCCAGCACTTTAGCTTCCCCGGGGGGAGCTTCCTTGAAGAGGCGTGAGCTATCCTGCGTCCAAGGTAGTAGCTACTTGCAGGTAGTAGCTACCTTGCTTCTACCAACTACCTCTAGCTAACCTACCTCTACTAGCGGCCTACCCCCTGGGCTTGTTACTACTAATAAGGCACTTGTTACTAGAAGCGATGCACTTGTTACTACTAGTAAGGCACTAGTTTCTACTAGCTTCTAGGAAGAAAGATTTGCACTTCAGTTTCTGAGTTTCCCAGCTGCACGAAGAACTGCGCTTCAGCTCGTCGGCGAAGCTCCTGCAGTCGTCTGAGCTCTTCGATCGAAAAACGTGGCGAAGTCGTCTGAGCTACCGCTGGCTACCTGTTCTGTGTTCGTAGCGAAGAATACACGCAAAAAAAGTACACGAATTACTGTAACTAAAGGAAGTGTTGGTGGGAAACTTGCTCTTCTATGTGGTGTTTGAGTGTTTCCATCGCAGCCAAGAACCGCTGTGAAGCTTCCTAGTGCCGCTTCAAGGAAGCTCTGCGAAAAGAGCGAACCGTGAGCTATCCGTCCAGAGCCTAGCAACTCACCTCCGCTACTAGGAACAAGTGCATCGCTACTAGTAACAAGTGCCTTACTAGTAGTAACAAGAAGCTATTACCTCCCTACTCGCAGCCTAAGCTGGAAGAACCCTTCGCATGATCGAAACTACAACAGTAACCTCAGTACCGCTTGTCTAAATATATATGTATATTGAATGTGGTTTGCGCCCCAACGAGCAACAAAACGCGTTGTTGCCTCAAATAGCTCTTTCTGCGAATAGAAGGATTAAAAAACATTCATGGGGATTTCTTGCAACACGATTGTCGTTGAAACCGGAAGGCAGGATTCTTTGAGAACAATTTCTGGGTCGTAGGTCTGGGGATCCAAAAAAAATGAGCCCCTAGTAGCTTCTTCCTAGGAGCGATGCCAGGAGCCCCTAGTAGCGTCCTTGCTCACTTGTAGTAATCATGTTTAGACCTGAGACCTCCGAAAGTCTTTACAGTGCAGTTAGTCGGCAGTTTTCTGCCAACCATATTTGCAGCTACTTCATTGAAACAAGGACCTTGAATGGGTCAGCTTTTCTTCGAAAGAGCACAACAACATCTCCACACCACAGATCCGGATCCGGAACAAAAGCTAGCGCTTCACAATAAGACCAAACGGTCCCGAAATGTCAGGTCGTCATACTTTGCTCTAGAATCCAACAAGAAGGTATGAATCATACGATGGTGATCACACCTTTTCCCAGATGCGACCGCAACAGGTCTCTGTATTGGCTTTTTGGAATCAGTTACAAGGTACAAATGTGGAGTAATTGATACAAGTATCATTCTTCAAGTGCCATTTGACTGACTGCTTCGAGCTTCCCAGACTGCAATTGTCCGTTTGGATATGCCTTCAAATTGAACACCAGCGTGTCACAAAGGCGCCGCAAGCAAGTGAACCAGCTCGAGCGCTAAGGGGCATAGAACGCGTGTGGATTCTTGTGAAAGTTCACTGCACTTCAGTTTGGCTATCAGGTTGGTTTCTAGTTTTGCAAGAGGCTTTCCACCTTTCGCTACAAACGTTCCAGCTCAGGCAAGAGAAGGCTTGGAGAATCACTTTGGAAGTGTTCGTCCAACTACTCTCTAAGCCAGCGGATGTCACAGATTTTTGACACATATACAAGGATGCAGCAGTCTCAATTGAAGGTCCAACAAAACACTCCTAAGTAAGAGTCCGAATCAGAGAAACACGGCAAAAACTCCACCGTAGCCAGCAGATCTAGATGAAGAGGGCAAAGACTTGGTGAAAAAAGTGGTGGTGCAAATTTCTCAAATGGAAGCGGGCCTTGTAAGCCTTCATCAATTCAAGAACATTACGCCCGCATAGACCCCAGAGAAGCTACTAGTAACAAGTGCATCGCTACTAGTAACAAGTGCCTTACTAGTAGTAACAAGAAGCTACTAAGAACAAGTGCATCGCTAGTAGTAACAGGTGCCTTACTAGTAGTAACAAGAAGCAACACAAGATAGCAACAGCTATTTGTGGGCGGCAGCAGCAGCACGCTGCAGCGGCACCAGCACCCAGGCTCCACTGCCATAGATGACCCTGCAGCCACACCAGCACCCAAGCTCCAAATCACACACAAGCACTGCTTCCTGTACTTGAAGTGAGAAAAAGAAGAAGCTCGCTATCTGAAGAATGAAACTAGACCGCTTTTGTTCAGAAATTCCTCAAAAGACCTTTTCGTCTTGGAGTGTTCTTCTTCCAAGACAAGGTCTTGAGGCTCCACCAAGTTTTACGCTCCATATGTGTTACTAGTAGCGATGCACTTGTTTCTAATAGCTTCTTGTTACTACTAGTAAGGCACTTGTTACTAGTAGCGATGCACTTATTACTAGTAGCTTCTTTCAACACCTTTCAACCTGTGTTGTGTTCTTTTTTGCGTTCATAGTTTTTGTTGGCGTTCTTTTATGTGTTTTCCTTTAGAAGCGGAAAAAAGTGCCCATTCCGTGCAGAATTATCATTATTTGTCGAACTTGGATGTCTTGCCACAAGTACCTCTGGCCTCGTGCTCCTGTCGAGCTCTGGCTGCTTCCTGGCCATCGGTGGACCGTTCGACCCGTCTTCTTTCTTGCGCCAGGAGCTACCAGTCGCTTCTTACTAGTCGTAAGAATGCTCCTAGTAGCGATGCCAGCCCCTAGTAGCGTCCTTGCTCCTAGCAGTAAGGCCAGGAGCGCTTCTTGCTCCTAGTAGCGATGCCCTTTGTTCCTAGTAGCTTCTTATTGCCTCTTTTTGCTCTTTGCTGCTAGGTTGGAGGTAACCAGGTTGTAGGCCATTTCAGGCCTTTGTCTTTTAGGCCGGGAGTAGTGTCTACTAAGTAGGTAGTGAAGCTAGTACATGGTAGCTGCGTAGTTTCTTTTGCTAGGACGCAAATGGGTTCAGGCAGAATGATTTGATTCCTAGATTCTTTGGGAAACTGAACTTCAATCAAGGTTTTCTCTATACAACTCGACCCATCACCATTGGGTGGGCCCACCCTCAAAGAAAAAAACACAGATTCTCCGAACATTCAAAACATTTGCCGTCTATTGCAAAACACTTTACGGCATGCAAGAAACATGTGGTCTCTGAATGAGAAAAAGGTATCTGATGAAAGAGAACAACAGTTTCTCGCCTCGTTGGTAAACCCACCCTGTGTACCTCGTGAAATGAGCTAGTCTGTCGTAACGGTCGTAACGTCAATCTGTCCATCGTCGCACTTGCTTCACACAAAAAGTGATACTGATACTTGCAACCTGAAAAGTAAGAGAACTCTTTTTTCCCAAAAGCAGTCCCAGAACAATTGAAAACGTGCTGACGGACTGGAGTCATCCCACTTTGTGCCAGGTCAAAAGGAAAAATTCAAAATTTGTGCCAGCTTGTGTCTCTCCCCAGTTGGCCCCCTAGCCTCCACATCTCTGGTTCTCCGCTAAAGAGGATGAAAGAAAGAAGAACCTTCCCTCTGGTCCGTGTTGGCATCACTCGGCTTCCACACGAGGCATGCCTCCTGGCTGCCAGCGATAGTAGTGAGTTCGAGTGACCCTCGGGCCCGACCTGGCCCAAGTGGAAGCAAAACAGCGCCATAAGGCCAGGACCCTAGTAGAGTCCTTGTTACTACTAGTAAGGCACTTGTTACTAGAAGCGATGCACTTGTTCCTAGTAGCGTCCCTTGCTCCTAGCTGTGCTCAAAACAAGCTCCACATGCCAGCTGTGCTGCGGAGTTAGCTGCCGGTCATACTCACGCCGGCGGGAATCGTCAGAAAGAACCTGCAGGATGAGGATTGAGACGGACAAAAAAATAGAATGGACCAAAGCCCTACAACATGTAACAAATGCCAAGATTTGGGAAGCGGCCCAGGCCTCACACAGAAACTCTAGAGAGAATGTTTATCGGAAGTTGACAGAACGCAGACACAAACCTTGCATTCCCCGCAACAAGCCACAGAATCTCATTTGTTGAACTGGCATTAACGTTCCAACTCTCCTCCCGGGATCGGTACGCCTTTCGGGCAGTCAAGCTTGCCGCATCGTGGGAGAGCACTTGGAAGCACTCCCCTCTATCCTATAGGTATTCCGGCAATCCCTGGGCTTTGGTCCTACCTTCACATCCGGTGCAAGGCGGCAGTTTCACACCGTGTTGCCGGTGCTGCCAGATACTGTACCTACAATAGAGAACGCGCTACCCGAAGTATCGATTGACCAGCGGGCAATCTTCAACGGTGATCTCTGGGTGTCTCTTCAGAATCGAAACCCATTGTAGTGTTCGACCCCATATCATGACTGAGCCGCACATGCAAGTAATGATGTGCATGCATTGTTCACCGTTCATGTTGTCCGCATCTACCTCGCATGTACATGTCCGCGCTAATTTTACTAGCGGGGGTGTCACACTTGTCATGACATGCTTTAAACTGTCCGGAAAGCCTCGCAACCTTTCCGGCAACCTTTAGGGTCACACACTGTGTCCACAAATCCGAGACCTTGCAATACCATTCTGAAAGATTTTGGTTTGTTTGTTTCGTGTTTTTTCCACCTCAAAAAAAATCCATGTTCATCTCGGCCTCATAGGCATCGCGAACTCGCTGAAAGTTTTGCTCCGCGTTGGGCGCCTGGCAGAAGATGATCCACAAGATATGGAGATCAGGAATTCAGTCATGAGGCATCTTTATTGGTTGTAGTAGCTGTAACAGTCGCAGCAGGACTGTCGTCGTGGCGTGGTAGTGGTAGTGATAGCAGTAAGTAAAGAGCACTTGAAACCAACACCTATATAAAGACTGTGAAACAAGTGGTAACAAAAACCTTTTCAATTGAAAAATGGATACCCCCATCCTTTTCGCCCACTCCCACTCAGCCCCGTCGTCCTGCCCCCGCAAACAGGTTCGTGATGTTTTCTCAACAAAAAACCATTAGAAAGATGCAGCCGTCCATTCAAGCACCTTGTTCGCAAAAAGTAAAAGAGAGAGAAAGAGAAAGAGAGAGAGAGAGAGAGAAAAGAATAATAGAAATAAAACAAAAAGGTCAACAGAAGTAGCAATCATAAAAATGTAGGCCATTGAAGGAAGGGAGTGAAAACAGGAGTCGCAAAGAGTTAGGTCCAAATCCTGCAGTGATCAGGAATGAAAGTCCAAATGTTCGTTTTCAATCCTGGCTTTTTGTTGTAAGTACCATGTGGGGGCTTCAATGTGTTCCACTTATATCGGTCATTGACTCAATGCCAGTAAGCTGCTGGAAGCTGAAGACGATGCGGGGGGCAAAATTGGATTGAAAGGGATTGTTTTCTCTTCCGCGCGTGGAACTGGATCCAATTTCTATTCCTCCAGGAGCTCTTCTTTTCTTGGAAGAGGTCCACGTGGGCCATGTGGGTAGAATTCGATCTGGTGTTTGTTCCTTGTGAGTGTTAGATTCACTGTTGGGGAAATCTTCAGGCATGTGGGGGGTGAAAGATTAAAAAAATATATTTAACGTATCAATAAAAAAATATTCTACACGTATCAATAAAAAAAATAACGTATCAAAAAAAAAAAATATTCCAAATAGCACTAGCAGTAAAAGTAGCAACAGTACTATAATAGCAGCAGTATCGCAGTGGTAGTCGCAGTGTTTTGTGGCAGGTGCAGTACTTTGTGGACCTTGCAATGCACATTTCGTGGCAGGTGCAGGACTTTGTGGACGTTGAAGTGCAGAGTTGGTGGCCAGTGGCAGGCGCAGGACTTTTTTTGGACCTTGAAGTGCAGATTTCGTGGCAGGTGTAGTACTTACTTTGTGGCCCTTGGAGTGCAGATTTCGTGGCAGGCGCAGGACTTTGTGGACCTTGAAGCGCAGATTTCGTGGCAGGTGCAGGACTTTTTTGTGGACCTTGAAGTGCAGATTTCGTGGCAGGTGCAGGACTTTTTCGTGGACCTTGAAGTGCAGATTTCGTGGCAGGTGCAGGACTTTGTGGATGTGGAAGTGCAGAATTGGTGGCCGGTGCAGGACTTTGTGGGCCTTGGAGTGCAGATTTCGTGGCAGGCGCAGGACTTTTTGATGTGGAAGTGTAGAGTTGGTGGCAGGTGCAGGACTTTGTGGGCCTTGGAGTGCAGATTTGGTGGCAGGCGCAAGACTTTGTGGACCTTGAAGTGCAGATTTCGTGGCAGGTGTAGTACTTTGTGGATGTTGAACTGCAGATAGACAGATACAAAGATAGAAAGATAAATGGATCGATAAATGGATCGATAGATAGATAGATCGATAGATAGATCGATAGATGGATAGATAGATAGACAGATAGAGTCGATAGAGGAGGCATATTTGCTTGGTTAGAAAATTTTGCACCGGGGAGTTCACCTCAAAATATTGATTTCGTGGCAGGCGCGGGTGTTGGGGATGAAGTGCAGATTTCGTGGCGGGGGGAGGTTGGGGGGGGGCGCAGCGCCCCCCCCAGCAGCACACCAGATCCAAAGGTGAGCAGCTCGCGCTTGCTTGCTTCCTTGTTTGGTTTCGTCTCTGCAAAGCGAACAAAAGGAAAAGCAAAATTCAAAAGCAAAAAAGAGAAAGGAGAACAGCTGCGAAAAAGAAAGAAAGAAAGAAAGACGAAGGACCAGAAGACCAAGGGACTAGCGGACCAGTGTGGACCAGCGGCCTGGAGGGGACCAGCGGACCAGAGGACCAGCGGAGCAGGGGACCAGAGGACCAGGGGACCAGACCAGAGGACCGGCCACCTACACGACTGGGAATTCCAAATAATTTCATCGCACAATGAATATTTTTTACTGATTCAGTAAATATATTTTTTTGATTCGGTAAATATTTTTTTTGATTCGATCAATATTTTTTTGATAATGCCGCATGTGGGGGGCCCAAGTGCTCGCGTGTCTTCGTCCACCAATAAGCTGGTCGAAGGCGCTCAAAGGAGTGCTGCCGTGTGGAACCACAGCGCACAAGGGCGACGCATCGGGCTGGCGCGAAGGCGCTGTAGGAGGAGAACGCTCCAGCAAAGCAGCAGCAGCAGCAGCAGCAGCAGCGTCGAGCACGCCAGAGACAGAGCTGGAGGAAAGTACGGCGTGAGCGGACGCAAGCGACTGCACCGTCATCGGCTGCAGTCAAGGCTCGCTGCCCGAGTGTGAGGGAGTGGGCTGACTCCAACACAGCAGCGGAGAGAGAGCGCAGGGGCTGGCTCCGGGCCAGTGTCAGGGGCGAGGAGGCCATCTGGCAAGGGTTGAGCCGCGCGTCAGGACGTCCGGCGCACCCTCAGTGGGTAACTCTGCCAGGCATGGGGTCGAAGTGAGTTTGGAGCCACTCAAGCCCAGCTTGCACGCGCGCAAGACGGACGAGGAATTCAGGACAGGCGTGGAGAGCCGTCACGCCTTCGGGCAGATAGAAGACATGAAGGAATTCAGGCAAGGCAGCCGGCGAGCGTGGCAGTGAACGGACGACGCCGGCAGAATCCTGCAGAAAGCAGACCACATTGCCAAACAAAGCACGTTGTCGAGCCTTGGGAGGGCCGCGCGCGGGCAAAGTACGCAAGGGACAGACGGTGTGGCCGCGAGCGAGAAACATGAGCTCTGCGGGCGTGAGGTCACGCAAAGAGGTGGCCAAGGGGATACGAAGGTTGTCATTGGCCAGGGCACGTCCGGGCAGAGTGCACCGCGGCAATTGGAGGGCGTCGCAGCAATGCGAACAAAGGTGCGCCAGAAGAGGGACGTGGAGGAACCGGCAGCAGCTTGCCAAGAAGTTTTGGCCTCTGGTGTATGCAGATAATAGAGGAGCCAACGATCTGGAGAGGCAGGGGCGGGCTGCGAGACGACATCGGTCGGCGCCGGCACCGAGTGGCTACCCAAGTCGGCCATAGAGAGGCCGACAAAAGTAGAAGGTAAAGCTTCCGGCAGGCGACTCCGATAGCGCTGCAAGTATACGCCGTGGCGGAAAGAAGATCATCAAGACCCAAGGCGAGGACGGCTTGGGCGGGGCCAGGGGGGCAAGAGCCCGCGCTGTGGGACTGAAGCCAGAGCCCAACGAGCGCAGAAGCCACGGAGACATGGCCTCACTTCTCAGGGGCGAGACACTGCTGCAAGGGCGCAAGGGCCAAAGCTGCGTCCAGAGCACGGGTCGGGGGGACGGCGCAAGACTGACGCCGGAAGTCGGAAGTCAAACAAAAGGGCGGCGTATCAGCCGCGGCGTCAAATTGAGCCTGCAAAGCAAGCCAAAGACGAGCGAAGCAGGGCAAGGGCAACGAGTTGTTTTGAACGCAAGGGCAGGCTAAGAGCAGAGAGCAAAGCTTGGATAGGCGCTTGCGCAAAAGCAGCAGAAAGCGCAAAGATGCGGCCGCGGTAGCGGACGGCGGGAAAGCGGCGGTCGCCCAGCAGGAGCGCTTCACGGAAGAAGGCACGGACTTCAGCCAAGGGAGTCGTCGTGGACAGCCGGGGCTGGCCAGATGCGATTCGAAGAGCACAGTGGCAGTGAGACAGAAGGTGACGGGGACTCGATCGGGTTTTGATGCGCTGTCGGGCATAGCATCGATCATTGACGTAGGTGGCTGCACTGGCGACGTGAGACTCGGTGGAGAAGTTTTGCACCCAAAGGCAGCCACGATGGCCTCCATTGCCGAGATGTCCACAGGCCAGCGACATGGGCCTGCAAGGTGCGGTACTGCGCACGCGCCGCAGGAGCACAAGCGGCGTGGATGGAAACCGAACAGTGGGAACGACCGTCCTGCAAGTGGAAGCGGGGCATGGCAGCCAAGAGAACGACCTGAGTGTAGAAGGAGGAAAGAAAAAAAGAGTCGGACGACGGCGCACGACGACAGGAGAGCGCAAGCGACGTGAAACCTAGAGACCTCGACCAGGAAAGTTCATGCAGCACAGTAAACAGGAAAGGCTGAGCTTGCGACCCAGGTAGTAGCTATACGGGACACAGGTGGGAGGTGTATTGAAGGGGTGTCGTGTTCATGGATGTGTTGGAGCCCTAGTCACGAAGGCTTGTCAGAGTCATGTCACTAGAGTGTGGCCATGAGTGTGTACTAGCCGGCGATAAAGCACTTCATTGGGAGTCATGTAGATAAATGGGTTTTAGCCCGGCAGCATACTAAGGGGCAGGCCGAGCTTCCGAACAGCGTGGCTACGCCGGAAACGTGTGGGAGGTTGGTTTCAAGGATGTCGTGGTTATGGATGGGTGGGAGTCCTAGTCATGACACGGTTGTTCAATCAGATGCATATCACGAGTGTGTGGTTATGAGTCTGCACTCTCCGGCGACAAAGTTAGTGGGAGTCATTCCAAGGGGTTGTGGCCAGGGAGAGAGAGGAGCACATAAAAGTGTCCATGAAATAAAATGTCCACAAGGAAGTGCAAAGGCGGCTCACAGTGTGAACTTGCAGATTGCAGGAGCTTGGGCCAAAAGCTACGCACAGCAGGAAATGCACGGACACGAAGCAGGAGGATGCATGGAAAGAAAAGAACAAGCATGGCAACGACACAGTGTATTCGCTCTTTTCTGCACGGCTGGAAACAGGCGTATCACCGTGCCGCCTGTAGGTCACTCTGTTGGGTGACTGCGCCGAGGCGGGCAAGGGCGCAGGTTGGCCAGACTGTTGGGTGAGACAGTGTGAGCGTTGGTTTGCAGGCGAAGCAGAAGCAAGTCCATATGAGGGCGCGCAAGGTGGCAACGCGGCGGCTGAGAACATTGCAAAGAGTCTTGCGGCGGCAGCGGAGCTGACGCCATGGGCGGAGGCGAGGCACCACGGGGCGGGCAGGAGGAGCAGGCAGCACACCAAGTGCGGTGGCCACCCCAGCAGCAACGTCATCGCAAGTCAGCGTGCGAGGAGATTTGGCGGCAAGCCCGTAGTGTGCCCGAGCAAGCTGATGGTGCGAAAGCAAAGGAAGGAGTGGTGGCTGTTGACGATGTGCCCGAGAGTAGAGGACTTGCCAGGAGTTGAAGGAAATAGGGCGGTGAAGGTGATCGAAAAGGAGCCTCACAGGCCAGTTGTTGCGCAGCGTTGCCTGGAAAGATGAAGGCCTGAAGCGCTGCCACGCCGGCCATGAAAGCGGATGCGGCAGGGGGCGGCGGAGCGACAAGTAGAGAGGAGTCAGTCTAATGGAGGTACTCCAAAAATATGAAAAAATGCTCGATCGGAGGGCCGTGGGAAGACAGTGCGGTGGTGGCACAAACTAAAGAGTTACAGTAGGCGTCGGTGTAAGGAACGGCCTGGCCTCGGCGGTGGGCAGCGGCATGGCCGCGGTAGACCGAGTGAACTCCCAAACATCTGCGAAAAACGAAGCATCAAGACGAAAACGGGCGTGGGAGTGGCATAACCTAGCGCGTGTGAGCGCGCGCGCCCTTTTTCTTCCCTCCATGAACCACCCTCAGCGACGACCCCTGTAGAGAGTCAGGAACGGCAACTGGAGGAGGCTCATCATCCACTTCGACCTGGACAAGGCGGACCCCGAAAAGCGGAACGCAGGTCACAGAGTGAGTAGAACTTATAACTTAGATACAAGTTAGTTATGGGCTTTTAAAACACAACTTATAACTTATGTCACCTCGAACCTCCGCTCACGTACGATCGCGAAGATATAACTAAGGTACTGTACTTATACGTAGTTATAACTAAGACTATGTATAACTTCCCAGGTGCTGTACTTATAACTATAACTATGCATAACTTCCAGAAGTAGTTGAGTCTCAAAGACAGAACTCAAGAGGAAAGCCGGACAATCTATTTAAGTTACCGAACTTGTCGTGTTTCGTGTTCAAGTTTGTGGGAAAAGTTTGGAATTAACAGCTTTTTGCTGTTCGCTAACAGTTTCACGCGCGTTCGCCGGATGTTGCGTTGCCGTGCGCGTAATGAATATCTCTGTGTGTGCGTTGTAGGTCTTCTGCGGCTCTGTGGATCGCGCGTTGGCGGCGCTGTGCGCTGCCCCTGCGGGTCTAGGTTGCAAGATTCCCTGGCCCAACTGGCGTTCAAAAGTTTGTGAGTAAACTCGAGGATGAAAGATTTCTGAACCTAACTAGTGCTCATTTTTGGCCGGGCGCTCAATTTTTTGCGGGTGAGCTTTGGGTCGCAAGATTGCTGGACCTAACTTCAATGTTTTGCGGGGGAGCGGTAGGTTGCAAGATTTCTGGATCGAACTGGAGCTCCCATTTTTTCGGGTGAGCTTTAGGTTGCAAAGTTTCTTGGCCCAACTAAAGTGTCTGGGCAAGCTTTAGGATGGAAGATTTCTGAACCTAACTGGTGCTCAAAAGTTTTCTCGGGCGAGCTTCAGGTTGCAAGATCTCTGGGCTCAACTGGTGCCCCAAAATTTTCGGGCGAGCTTGAAGTTGGAAGATTTCTGGACGGAAGAGGTGCTCCAAATTTGGCTGGTGAGCTTTCGGCTGAAAGATTTCTGGACCTAACTGGTGTCTTTTTGCGGGGGAGCTGTAGGTCGCAAGATTTTTGAACCTAACGAGCGCTGAAAGTGTGGCGGGTGAGTTATAGGTTTTACACTTTTTGAACTTAGCGGGCGCGCAAAATTTTGCGGGCGAGCTAGAGGTTGCAAGATTTCTGGACCTAACGGGCGCCCAAAATTTTGCGGGCGAGCTTTAGGTTGCAAGATTTCTTGGCCTAAGTGGTGTGCCAAAGTTTCTCGGCGAGCTTTAGGATGCAAGATTTCTGAACCCCATTGCTGAAATTTTATCAGGTGAGCACTCGGTTGCGAGTTCGGGTAGCAAACTGATCTTGAAGGCCAAGGTTCTGACCAGTGAACCAACTCCGCCAGGATCGGCATTAACTCTGCGCTGCAAAGGCGAAGAAGGACACTTGCAGCATCTCGTTTCCGGGGTTCGGCTCAAAGTTTTGCTTCAAGCACCTAGTGCAAAGAGACTGGCTGCTTAATTTCCTCACCGCTGAAAAATTTTCGGGCAGACTGTCAGACTTCAAAACAAAGCAGTCGAAGTACCCATCTACCAGCACAATTCCGTAGGCGTCGACGAGTCGGTAACAGCGCGCAAACGCACGCTGGGCTTCTGGCCGCCCTCCACGTGTAAACCCACTGGACCGATGGCTGCAAGGGTCTAAAGACTTGTCATTCGTCACACGCGGCGTCACACACATGCAGTTTTGCTAGCTGCTGCTCAGGCTCGGTCCGGACAATAGAAAGTCACTCGCGCTTCACTCTCCCTCACCAGACCGGATGGCGCATCAATCTTCAGTGTACCTGGGGCGACTGGACGAAGGACGTCGTCCTTTTTGCGCCTTTGAAGACTGAAGTTCTTGACCTGCCAAGCTTCCTGGCGCTCAGAAGTCTCGTTCCATCTGCACGAGTAGCGGGCATGATGCCACTTGATCCGCGTCACACGCAACAATATACGCAGAAGGGGAAAAGGTGCCTAAGGCAAGTCATCTTCACAACCCACACTCTCGAAGTCCACGTGTGTCTGAAAAACTCAAGAACTGACCTACATAGAGGAGCCTTTCTCCCAGAAAGCCAATCCAAGGCCTGAGTAGAGCTAATGTCCACGTACTTGCCATTGCTTTTCTTCACGACCTCTGGTGGACTTTCAATGCAGGGGCTCTGGCATCTCGCCTTCCAGAGCAGGCACAATCTGATGATGCTCTTGCCAACCCTCTTGGGCAACCTCAGCTGCCACCCCATCTTCTGACTCCATCAAATGATGCCTCCCTTGACACTCCCTCATGAGCTGCACGCCGGTAAATCACCGAAGTGTGCGCAAGGCATGATACAACGGCAAACAAGTGGCACTTCATTGCTGCCCACCCTGCTGTGAGCTATTTGCGATTGGTCGCAAACATATGCGCAAAAGCTAAGGTAATTATCTCCTGATTTAATTCCTTCAACACAAAGGTATGAGACAAATGCCACACCACAAAAAAGGAATTAGATCAGAAGCTAATTCCGCGGAATGCCATAAGAATAAACCTCCACTTCCAACTGCTGTCCTGAGACTCGGCTGCAAGGAATTAAACCCAGGTTCAATAGATACTGTGCTTCAATATGACCAGACACGGTACCGTGCTTAATCTTTTGAAACTCGTGCGTTTACTTCTTCGCCATCAACTCAAGCACCTTGTTCACATCTGGGTGTAATTGCTTTGCAAGGCGCAAGTACCTGTGACCAGTTCCCGAGTCGATGACAGTCGCCCAGCGCCGCCGCCACAACAGTGATTCTGGCGAGATTTTGTTTAAAAGCCCGGGGGATGTAGGCCGCTAGTAGAGTTAGGTAGCTAGTAGTAGCTAGGTAGCTAGTAGCTTAAGTAGTTCCTACTTAGGATGCAGGATAGCTCGCACTAGTGAATTGGACTTTTAGGGAAACTTAAGGTTGCAATCAGTGGGGCGAAGCTGCTAAGCTAAAGAGGCCAGGCGGCTAGACCAACGGGAAACAAAGAAAGTTCTCTAAACGAAATGCTACTAGATCCACATTAAGTACTGGAGGCCATCGTTACTGGGGGCTCTTAGGTTGGAGGCCATCGCTCTTGGAAACAAAAAACATAGGGGCACGCCAGCCGGATGGTCTCTCTCGAGGCAGAGCGTGAGACACCAAGCGCTTGGTACAATGCACCTGGAAGAATCAGCAAAGCATATGAAAGGTCTTGCGTTCACCTGCTCGGGTCCTACTACGCACCTGGAAAGCTCCCACACAACCAGGTGACAGAAATAGCATTCATACCTAAAAGAAAACTGGTTTATGTCCTTTATTTGTAAATGACGTGCTGCTCAAAAATACGGGATGTGTCGGATGAATATCGATCTTCGCTCTACAGATTCAAAAATACGATCTTCAAGTCCTCAGTGTTGCGGTGAGACCGGTTGGTCAAGGGACACATCAAACAGGCCCCGGTCCAAACATGCAAAGTCATGGAGTGCAAAAAGGTTGGCGTGAATGGTTTGTAAGGGCGATAGCCTCCAACCTACTAGCGATGGCCTCCAACCTACTGGCGATGATCTCCAACCTCGTTGCAAACGCCCGAGGCCCGGTGGTGCGCTTTTTGCTGGAGCTCTTGCACACCACAATCCTCCTTGGAGCTCACTGTTTATATAATGGCGATGGCCTCCAACCTAATACAGTACATAAGGCAGCAAACCTGTATGTCAACGCCGTGTCCACGATCAAGGATCAGTCATAGTTTGTCGCTTTGTACGTTGTCTTTGGTGCACTTCACAAAGTTGTTTGAGAAGTCATTGATGGAAATGACTAGTCCATAATCTAATTTAGGCCTGTTGTGCATGTGGACTTAGACACTGGCAGAAGGCTGCTACACAAGGTTCCATGCTCGCACAAACGGTTCAAACCAATCGACCACAAGAGGTCTACTAAAAGCAAAGAGCAGCAAGGGCATTACTATCCGGGACAAGAAGCTGCTAGGTTGGAGGCCATCGCTACTAGGAACAAGAAGCTACTAGCCGCAAGGAAGCGCCACGACTGTCCAGTTACGAGATAGGTTCCTGTACTCAGAATGACAACCTACTAGCGATGGCCATGGCCTCCAACCTAGAAGCATCTATTTGTCATCTCATGTATTTGTCATCTGTAGACTCTGTAGACTTGCCAAGATCTGCACACATCGCAGGTTTGCCTGCCGCTCATGCCACAGCAGAACACTTGGAGGAGGCTACGCTCCTTTTGTCAATGCGATGTTTTTCTTTTTATGCGTAGACCAATGCGGTGGTAGACCAATACGATGGGATGCAGAGGCCACCATGTCGTCCAACTTTCTGGCTGCAGACAACAATGACCCTTGACAAATTCATGCAAATTCGTGCAAAGCCAGATTTATGCGTTCGGGTTGCGGCAAACCTTCGGGTTCTGCTGTGCTACAAGGAATTGGTCTAAAGTCAGCGACATGGATCATCAGCACTCGAGCCACCTGACTGCGTCAAACAAACAAGCACAACACTTCCATGGTTTGCAAAGTTGGACTCCAAATTGAATTGAGTAGCCTAATAGGGATGGGCCTCCAACCGAAGAGCGATGGCCTCCAACCGATGCACAACAAAAAGGCCTTTTGACTGCCTGCTTGCTCGATCGAAAAAGGACAACATCCGTTCTTCGTCAAGGTGATACTCTTTGATTCCACGTTTCTGGAACCAGCGAAACAAGCGCTTGGAATCTTTGCCAAGCACATCCGGATATCTTGATTGAAGATCCTTTCTCTGATAGTAGATCTGCCATATAATTTCCGGCCACCAAGAGGGTATATGTTTGTTGGGATGGTGAACGGGTTGCCACATCCAGCGAAGCAAAGATACCTTGGAGTTTGAGTCTCCATTCACAAATGGGGAATCGAAAGCAACACGCTCTTTGAAGCCATTGATCAAGGCCAAATCCCCGCTTTGCGTTCCGGGATCCAACACCTCGGCATAGAAATTGCGCACGACTTGTGGAACATCCGTTCCATCATCAAAGCAACAAAAGCCATATGGTACATGTCGCCAGCGCATGGCATCTTCAGCTCTCAGCATCTCAAGATACTTCTCAAAGATTGGACGTAGTCTGGGAAAGTCTGCCATAGAAAAACGGTTCTGATGCCGTGAGATTGATTCGATGTTGTAATTCAGAAGGTCCGACATGCCTGAGAAATGCATGAAAACAACTGGATCTTGGTCGTACATTACTTGATCCTCCACCATATGAAGATGAACACCTCGATAGTGCAAATTCCAGTACGCAACATTGTAGCGAGGATCCCGCCAAATGAGGTACTTGCTCTGCGGAAAATAGGAAACGATGAAATTTGCCCAGTTTTGATCAAAATGCATCCCTTCGTTGGGTCTTGCAAATCCGTAGAAGCGAAGGCGGCGATTCCAATACTCCAGTCATTCGAACGTTGTCTCGGTTGCGGCCATGCCAACAAAGCCGAAGTTGAACTGACCGGCAAGCATGATGTTGCGTTCGTCCTGCCGAGAGAAAAAAGAAACGAAAAGAAACTCGAGAAACCGTTCGTCAATGCGGGTTCTCGATGGAAATTCCCACCTGACGTCCGTATCCCGTATCTAGTAGTAGCATTTCCTCGATAGCTACTTCTAAGCTATCTCTCCTCTTCAACCTCTTCTAGCTGCCTATGCGATACCAGAACAAAAACGACATCTCTCTCGTCCTGCTTGAAACCATCCAACGGGAATGGCTGTGTGCTGTGTGGAGTGAGAACAAGACTATAGTGGTCGAGCGCGTCAATGAGAGCTGTCACCGGTTGCAAAATCCAAATGTCGTTGTCGAAAAACAAGACCTTCCCAGCCCCAAACTCATGAAAAATATACTTGAAGGCCGCTGGCTTCAGTGCTGTGTTAAAGCAAACCATGTCGTAGCGAAAGGCCAACTCTGCATAGCTAAAATCCCCCAAGTAGGGTTGCAGTTGATCAACTGTCACAACATGCCATGGAAAGGGCTGCTGCTGAACATCATACAAAATCTCTGAAGTCAGGTTTTTCATTCCATTTGGCGCCCAATCTTGAATGTTGTCTGCCACAACCCAGACCAAGCAAAGCAAGTCTGGATGTAGCTTTTGCAGCCGCTTTAGAAAAGATTTAACAAAGCCATAGTTGTTGAAGGCTGAGATCGTAAACAAGCAGGTCTTTTTCGATGTCAGATTTGTGTCTTCTGCATCTTCCACATGGCCAAGTGCAGGTGCCAAATGATGTGGCAATCCTTCCAAGGCAATTTGGGATCTGGATGACCCTCTCATCTCTCTCATGGAAGTTTCGCAAGCGATGAAACGTATAGCCATAGTCACCAGCAGCGCGATTGACGCAAGGACCAGGATGGTCATCGCTTGCACAATGAAGGGCCACTGCTGACAACTCCATTGCGAACTCAATGACATGACATGACTCAGTCACTCCACACCATGCAAGTGTTCTTTCAAAACTACTTGCGATGGCCTCCAAGTTTTCTTTCAAAACTGTGAAGGTTGTCTTGTCTCTGATGAAGACTTTTTCGCACCTTTGGAATCCAAGAATACTTCTTGTACCAAAAGGGCTGATTCCTAGGGAGAAACCTTGGGGGCCAACTTTTGGGGAAATG